ACTGCTGCGCGCGCCAGCATTTGCTATCGCACTGATGGTCGGGGCCACAAGGCATGCCGCAACGCTCAAACTGCTGGTTGATTTGATGGGCGCGGCCACGGCCGCAAAGCACACATATGAGAGCGCGTGCCAAGTATATACTGCGCCTGCCAGGAAATCTGTACGCTCAAGTGCATAAATCCTGCGTCTGCCACGCAATTTCTACTTCAAGGAGCGCCAACTGCTGCAGGGTCAATTATCTTGATGCTGAGGTGCTTCAGGATCCACCGCCGACGCTTGCGAGGAGATCTCCATCTCCTCAGAAACGTGAAAGAAGAAATAAGCAACATTGCTCCGTGGCTTTGCAACTCGTTTGTCTTTGCATTCTATGATTCTATAGACTTTTCTGTTAGTGTTCCATCTCAGGGGTCGAAAGGCTCGTCAGGAATGACATCTTCGGGGATGGCGTCCAGGTGGTCGACAACATATTGCCACGTCAAAAAGATGAAGTCACAGGCGAGGTCCTCAACCCCAGGTCGCAGAATCGTGATATCGCGGTCCATGTTGCGTGCTCGACACTCATGACGGCCAATGCATGCAACTTCCCGTTGTTGCGTCCGTGTTGGATCGGAGCTCAACTATTCCAGCGACCGCACCGCACGCTTGGAATAATTTCGACGACCTTTTCCATCATGGCCAGGCATATGGCTGCTGTCGGACGAGCTCCCTCCATCAAAGTGTGAAGCTCGCTGAGCATCCTGGCCACCATCTTCGGGTGCTGGTTCTGCATGTGGTTGGCTGCACTGCCTTTCCAAGGGACATAGAGCAGGCGGAGGTTGCACACTGCAATGCTGCCCCATCGCATGGGCGTTGTTGGTCTTCGTCGCCGGGACATGGGTTCCATAGCATGGCCATTGATCTGGATGGTGTCCCAACTGAGCTTCCGGTCGTAGTCCCAATCTGGTAGAGGAGCTTTGGCGGGAGTCTTCGACTTGATGTGGGCAATCACACCCTGCCCGTCCGCTTCCGTGAGGTGCTGCATCGGAGTTCGGCGGCCCGCCATGAACAAGGAGCGATGCTGAGGCAGATGAGGTCAAAGGCATTGACACTTGAGAGGATGCGCTCCGGAGCCGGTTCATCAAAAATAAAGTACGATCCCACTGAGCAGCTCAGATACGTGACTGTGACATCATAACATGTTCTTCTTCTTCTTCAAAATCTTCATGAAAACAACTGGATGAAATTCCAAAACTCTCGATTCGAACTGCTCGGACCGTCGGTTGGCGACGACACGGATGGTGGCATGACCCGCATGGTTGTGGTTCCCGCCAGTAAGGTACTGCTTGATGTCCATGACACAGTGACCCTTGTGGTTGCGACGAAGTTGATATGGTTGGGGGTTCTCTTCCAAGGTGTTGAGGGCCATACCCGTGTTGAAGTCCACCATTAATGCAGCTCCATTGTCACCCAAGTGATCCATGCCAACCAAGATAGGGACCAACATAGCTCTCGTGAACCGCGGCTGTGCCATATCAGGAGGATTTGGGAGCGCATAAATGCTGAACTTCCGCAACGATCCGGATGCCATGCTGCTGATGTGAACACGATACCAAGCGCGGCCCCACTTCCCATTCCCATACCTGAAATACGGGCGAGCGGACTTGTCGATCTCAATGATCGCGGCTTTGTCTTGTGAAAGCACGGCCTGAATCAGGCCCCGAACCGCCACATCAGGTCCTGCGGACGCTGTGGCACCGCAATCTAGCATGCCCTCATGGTCGCCCAAGGTGGTGGCGGGGAAGGTAGGAAGTGGCTCCTGGTCTTGCTGCTGAGTCTCCATGCCCGTCGGCTCGGGGGAGTACACATTGACAAAAGTGCGGGGTGGTCCCTTGCCCTTGTTGAGTTTGCCCTTGAAGTACATGTCTTCATGCTCCAAATCCCCAAGAAATGCACTTTTCTTACCCTTCTTCCCCTTGGAGTAGCCCTTGTGGTAGCTATAGAAATCATCCATGTAGGGGTCCATCATGAAGTGGGATTTGCCCTTGCCATACCGGGGATGAAAGGAGTGACGTTTGTCAGGACAATCTCTGGCGAAATGGTCGCCACCACAATTGAAGCACTTCACCATGTTCTTTCCCTTACCCTTCACAGCGCCGAAACCACGGTCTTTGTGAAGAGCCGCAGTGGCCTTCTTGGCCTCGGACCATGTGCGGTTGGCCTCTGCAGCCATTTGCTCTGCAACATGCTCAGCTTGTTGGGCTTCATGTCATGAAGCTTGGAGTCCATGTCCATGTCATTCGATGGATGGTTGGCGAGGTCCTGAACGAAGTCATCATGTTGTTCATGCCAGGACCAATCTTCATCATCATGAGCTGGTTCTACATACCAGCTCTGGTGCCAATCTTCTGGCCAGGCATCAGACCAGTGAGCTTCGTGCCAACTAGGATCATCTTGTTCTTGGACATGAGCTTGAAGTTGCTGTCCTCCAAATGACTGGTGTCGGCCAAGGAGTTGGTCATCCCAAAGGGTCTGAAGTGCCCTCGAAATGGAGTCGTAGTCTATCTTGTTCTGGGTCGTTGAGAGGATGTCTCTCTTCTCTTCATGTGTAAGGCCAGCTGCTTGTGGAAGTCTCCAACCACGGAGGACGCCCATAATGAAGCTGTCGGCAAAGGTCAGCTCATCGATCGCTTCAGGCATCCCAAAGGACTGGGAGTGCTGAACGGAAACGCCAGCAGATCGTCGGCTACGAGCGTCAGGTGAACGCCCGGTCGCCGAAGCAGCTTCTTCTCTCTGTCCTGAATCGTGGCCAGGTGATTCTGGTTGAAGTTGATGGTACCCTTCATGATCTTCATGCCAGTCATCGGCATGCCATGCCCAGCTGGAGTCAGCGTTGCAGGAGGTGTCATCGCTGCCTCGTGGAATGCCATAGTCCTTCGACTCTTGGGAGATGCTCTGTTGCTCTTCATAGAGCCTGGTGACCGCCTCAACGAACTCGCTGTAGCCCAACGTCTCGCGGATGAGGAATGAGCCCATCTGTTCACCAGGTGCTCGACGGAACTGAAAGTATTGAGCACAAATGGCAGCCGTGTTCGGTAGTGACTGCCGCACCAATGGTGAGGATGCTAACTTGCGGATCAAATCGTCAGGCGAGTCGCACGAGGCCAGAGGCCAGGACATAGCCAAGAGCCGAGCCGGTCCTGTGAGTTTGCTCACCAGTTTTGTGGCACAGAACCTTCTCTTGTGACATGGAATGCTCTGAACCCACCATGCCACTTCACGCGTCGCCGTAGACGATGGAGAGGATGTTGAAGTCACCGTACTTATCCTCAACGTGACTCAGTCAGGGAGGACCAGATCGATGATCTCAAGGAAAAAGGGGGTAGGACAGGAACCAACCAGGCACCAAGGTGAAGAAAGCCAGGGCCCAATCACGAGCAAAGTCGTAGTCGAAGTCACCGACCTCGGAGAAGACAACCTCGAAGGTCAAGACCTCGTAGAGAGCCCTGCGGAAGCACGGTCCTGGATCGGAGCCGTGCTCCGCTACCAATGCAGCGGAGGGAGGTGGCGCAGCAACAAGTGGTTCTTTTCCACTGGCGCTGGGCGTCCAATGCCCTGAGCTGGCTAAGTCAAGGGGCCCCTGAGGGAAATGGCAGCAGCCGGTTGGGACTCATGAGATGACATGTCATGCATGCACAGTTCGCTCAACTGCACTCTACCACCCCCAGAGTTAAACGAGAACCCTTCGCTACGCATTCGGGAAAAATGGGCTGAGTGGGCACCAGGGCTGAAAAAGGCTTTTTGCTGGCAGCTGTGGAGATGGAAGGTCGGCGAGCGGCAAGGCTCACCAGAGACCAATGGGAAGCTCATCTCAAGAATGACCACCAGCCATTCCGAAAGGACTTGCCAGCCCGGTTGTTTTTAAACACGGAATTAATATACGATTTAAATATACGGTCAGCTTAATTACATATTGGCGGCGGAATCCATTTGGTACTGAGCTCAAATACACTATCTATTATGTGGGGTGTTGGAGGTGCTTTTGGTGGTCTTGGAGGTCCCGGTGGCCTTAGTGGTCTTGGTGGTCTCCGTGGTCTAGGTGGTCTTGGTAGTCTTGGTGGTCCGGTCTTGGTGTCTTGGTGGTCTTGGTGGTGATTGTGGCTGTCTAGGCGGTGTTGGTGGTGCTCTTGGTGGTCTAGGTGGTCTTGGTAGTCTTGGTGGTCCCGGCGGTCTTGGTGGTGATTATTGTGGTGGTCTAGGCGGTGTTGGTGGTGCTCTTGGTGGTCCCGGTGGTCTTGGTGGTCTTGGGTCCGGTGGTCTAGGCGATCTTGGTGGTCTAGGTGGTCCTGGTGGTCTTGGTGGTCCAGGCGGCCCTGGTGGTTTTGATTTGGTGGTGTGGCAGCCTGGCACCTCCCCATACAGCCTGCAGCCCTGAAGGTAGTAAGAGTCCTTGATGAGTTCTACTTCCTGTGAGAGGGTTTGAAAAGCTAGATCGACCTAGGTGCTAGTGCTGGGCAGAAAGCAAAGTTATTTCTCTACGAAAATTGGGTTCTGTAGGTGCCAAAAACTGCCCCGTTACAACCTGGCCCCTCTGTAAGGGCCTCAAGCCTCAAGCTCTCCCTTTTGTAGAAGAAATGTCAACAGGGATCCGTCTATGTTGCAAATATACGGGGCCCGGCCAGACCCTTTAAATAAACGGTGGGAACAGGTATTTTAGACTACCTCCGGGGCCGGCGGATTAGTTTCCACCCTAATCACCCTAAACTAAATTGGAATATTATAAGTTTACTTCGGGGTGGAAATTGCTCTGGCCAGGCCACCATATATTTTAAAAGCATTACCGTATACATACGCGAAAAAGAAAAATACGTTTACAGCATCTATGTGATGGCATATCTATATGGTATCGAATGAACAGGCATTATGTTCCACTCATCGCTAAAGGGAAGTGCAGATGCACCAAACGAAAGATTCACCTGCCAGTCCAGCCCCACACCCCACCCGCCCATCCCCATCCAGGTGTCTGCTTGCGCGCACGCACGACCTCGGAACAGGCCTCACACCTGAGACGAAGGATCCGAATGATCTCCGCGGATTGGTTTGGAAGGGACATCGACCGGAAACAGCATGGTTTTCGACACGGTGTTCACATGTTTTCACCCTCCAAAACGATGGTTTTTGGGCCTTTTTTGTGCTAGATATGTTCTGTGAAACCAATTCTGGGACAAGATCACATGCGTTCATCCAGGGATATGTACGTGCCCCAAACTCTGCTCCAGCGACTTAGCCAACAGCCCTGACCACCGACAAAAAAACAAACCTTAATTAAGCAACTTCAGCTGCCCTTGTTTTCACAATCTGTTTCACAAAAACACACATCCTCCAGTTGTCTCATGTTGTCTCGCAGCACACTCGCACAGCCAAACATCCCTTCCCGAGCTCGGAAGGGACGGTGGTCTCCCTGCTCGATGCACGGCTCGATGCGAGACAGCGCGGCGTTCTGCATCGAACGCGCGGTGCGAGACCCTGTCGATCGAATCCAGCGGAGGCACCGGGAGATTCCAGCTTTCCTGTTTGCCGATGCCAAATCTGTGCCAAATCTGTCCATCTGAATCTAGATCTCAAATGTCCATCTACCATCTATCCCTGCCTACTGTTGGAAGGTTCTTCCAGTAAAACCACTCAACCAGTGAAAGGAACGCTCCCACGGTGTTGGACTTCCTGGCTTCAGCGTTCTCTCCAAGCCTTCTCTTGCCTCAGCTTCCTTCTCCCCTTTTCCCCCTCCACCCCTCCACTGCATCATCACTCGGTCCAGGCACTTCCAGGAGTTCTGCTTGTCGAGCCGTTCGGGCGCGGTGAAAAGCTTTAACATATCCTCCAGATTGTCCGTGGCCTCAACCCGTGGCGGGTGGAACTGGTTTCCAACCTCGAAGCAGGTCGGTGTGGAAATGGGGAAACAAAACAGCTCATGCTTGGGGGTAGCAGGTAGCAGAAGGATGCAGAAGGTCGGTGGAAGCAAGCTCCAATGAGTGACGCTGGCTTCGGTCGGGATTTCATGGAGCTTGCTTGGCATTTGGACTGGACATGTTTTTTCCCGAATGCGTAGCGAAGGGTTCTTGTTTAACTCTTGGGGGTCTGGGGGTAGAGCCTTGTTCGCGACCCGTTGCTTCTATGTTCGCAACCGTCCGCAACCGTTCGCAACCGTTGGCAACCGTTCGCAACCGTTCGCAACCGTCCGCAACCGTCCGCAACCATCCACAACCGTCCGCAGTAGGACGCTAAGGCGCTGCCATTGGGGGAAGCTTTTGCAAGTGACTTTTCATGGATGTGTCACGTGTCAGTTTGCGCCGCTATTCCATTGTGATTTGCATGAACATGTCATGTCGCGCAAGAAGCGTGATGCATTTCGCTGCACAGGCGCAGCGTTTTGTGAGATCCGCAACGCAGTTCCATTGGGATTAGCGTTTGGAGAGTCGTGTTTTTGGGGTGTTGGATGTGGCCGTGCCATTGGGATTTGCGTTTCAGGGTGTTTTCGTGACAAGTCTCAGCTGAAATGCCGATTTTGGTGGATGGGAGTGTGCTCAGAACAGGTCGAAATCATTCCAAACGTGTGGTGTGGTGCAAATTTTGTTGAAGCTCACATGAGATGACATTGTTACTTTTCGTGGCAGGCGCAGGACTTTGTGCGGGTTTTGAGGTGTGGAAGTGGGATTTTCGTGGCAGGCGCAAGGAACCGTGAGGTTGCGATGTGTGACGGAGGTGACATTTCGTGGCAGGCGCAGTACTTTGTGCGCGTTAGACGTGTGGACGCGGAAAGATTCGTGGCAGGCGCAGGGAATCGGGAGGTTGTGAGTTGTGGTAGAGGTGAATGTCGCTGTCGCATTGGGATTGGCGTGTGAGCGGGTGTCGTTTGGAGGGGCTGGACTCGCGAAACTGCTTGGCAGGGCTGCGTGATGTGTGTGCTCTGATGGGTGTTTCCGCTGGACTTTTGGAGGAAGTCTCGTGCGAAACGTTCGTTTTGCAGACTTTGACATGTGAGTTTTTGAGGAAGTCTCGTGCGAAACGCTCGTTTTGGGGACTTGACATGTGACTTTTGGAGGAAGTCTCGTACGAAACGCTCGTTTTGGAGACTTGACGTGTGACTTTTGGAGGAAGTCTCGTAAGAAACGCTCGTTTTTGAGACTTGACGCGTGGCTTTTGGAGGAAGTCTCGTACGAAACGCTCGTCTTGCAGCCTCGCAGCGTGACTTTTGGAGGAAGTCTCGTACGAAGAGTGTGCCCTACAGGAGTGTCCCACAAGAGTGTCCCACAAGAGTGTCCCGCAAGAGTGTCTCACAAGAGTGTCCCTTAAGAGTGTCCCACAAGAGTGTCCCACAAGAGTGTCCTACAAGAGTATCCCACAAGGGTTTCCTACAAGAGTGTCCTACAAGAATGTCCTACAAGAGTGTCCCGCAACCATGTCCCACAAGAGTGTCCTACAAGAGTATCCCACAAGAGTGTCCCACAAGAGTGTCCTACAAGAGTGTCCCACAAGAGTGTCCCGCAAGAGTCTCCCAAATGAGTGTCCCACAGGAGTGTCCCACAAGAGTGTCCCGTAACAGTGTCCCGCAAGAGTGTCTCACAAGAGTGTCCCTTAAGAGTGTCCCACAAGAATGTCCCACAAGAGTGTCCCGCAAGAGTGTCCCAAATGAGTGTCCCACAGGAGTGTCCCACAAGAGTGTCCCGCAACAGTGTCCCGCAAGAGTGTCTCACAAGAGTGTCCCTTAAGAGTGTCCCACAAGAGTGTCCCGCAACAGTGTCCCACAAGAGTGTCCCACAAGAGTGTCCTACAGGAGTATCCCACAAGAGTGTCCTACAAGAGTGCCCCACAAGAGTTTCCTACTAGAGTGTCCCACAAGAGTGTCCCGCAACAGTGTCCCACAAGAGTGTCCCACAAGAGTGTCCTGTAAGAGTGTCCCACAAGAGTTTCCTACAAGAGTGACCCACAAGAGTGTCCCACAAGAGTGTCCTACAAGAGTGTCATTTGGACATATGTAGCTTTTTGAACGTGTTTGCATTCGGGTTCGTGGGCTCCATCTTGTTTTGTATCTACAGTGGTGTCGAAGTGTTGTCCTCATTGGAACGTAACATGGCAAAAGAGTGCATGGGGTGCCCAGCGGCATGCGGCGGCGCAATGAGAGATTTCTTGAGGCAACGTTTAGTTTGAGGTTTCTGGAGGAACAACTGTGTCTCCTTGCATGTTTGGAATTTGAACACCATTGTTCTGTGCCTTTGTGAAACAAAACAACCCTTCTGCATCCTTCAGCTGTCTTGCACAGCCATAACAGAAAAGGGTACAGCCAGACAGAACACAAAGCCAACGGAACCTGCTTGGCCTACACCAAGAATATATCCAAAAGCTTCTCTTCGCGGCCGGTCTATGTTGGTAGGCTGCAGGATTCCCGAAAAAACCAAACAGCAAGAAGCCAAATGCCAAACAGCACAGCAAAACACACCAGGCAGCCAGCAACAAACAACAAACCCAACCACAAAAAGATGCAGTTATTACCAGCTCTCCCTTTTCCGTTCCAGGCACTAAACCACCCGAAGCAGCGACGCAATACCTCACCGGGGCTTTGGAGCTTTGGACCCGAATCAAACCACCAAAGATAGGCTTCGCAGTCCCAAAATGGTGGTTGAACTATAGTGTATTATACCATTAAGATCTATTTTACCACTGATGAAACTCATACAGTATATAGACTCAAGGATTATCAGATACTATCAGTGTGGATTGATACACACAACTGGTTCTTGAGGTCTACCATGGTCTACCACCTCCCGTCGTCGCCATGGTCTACAATAGAACCGCCTTACATCCAGCCCACCCCAAACCGTCCTGGACCCGGACCGGTCCTCAGCACCAACCGGGCCGACCCGCTGACCGACCCGACCCGACCCGAACGGGCCTCGGTGATCTCCAACGAGAGGTCCCGAAAGGGCTCGAAGGAAAAGCTGCTCCGTGCGCACTCCCTGGACGGGTCGAGATGGACGCGGTGGACGCGGGGTCCGTTTGGGGAGAGAGGGTTTTGGTGTGAAGAGGTGGCTGGTGAGTTGCTGGTGGGGGATGGGGAAGCTGGCTGGCACGATTTTTTGAACTGGATGGATCCAGGGGCATCTGAAGAGATACCCTGGCATCTGTTTGATCACAGGCTAAGTTGAAACGAACGGTATCTAGGAGGTTTCCCAATCAACACCTTTCCCAATACAGTTTCAAACAATCTACTTTGGCCGTTCAGGAGAAGATCCCTTCTACCCCGTTGAAAATGGGCTTGCCTTCCCATAAGCTACTGTATTGCATTCAATGAAAACGCTTTGTGACTTTAGATTCCTAAGCTATAAGATCCATTCAGATGCGTTGTTGGTCAGGTGATCGTCCGAATTCTTGGCATTTGATCTTGATGAGCTACGTGGTACCCCATTGGACCCTATAGAGGGTCCACGTCAAACACATGCAAGCTCTGAGCCCTCGGTGAGCCATGTCGACCAGGATGACACAAGCACAAGTCATCTCCAACCGTTCACCATGCCAACCGGTTGGATATTCGTCAAAAAACGATTTATACTGTGTTCTGGTTTTACCAGTTCTGATCTTCTGAATCACGGTTAACCGGTCAAACATTTATCAGATGAAAACCAACCAGTTCACCGCGAGCGACAACGGGTCTCCAGCACCCCCCCCCCCGCTGAACCGCGAGCTCGACGAATGCGTCACGGGAGACCCCTCCGCGCTTCCGGGTGCAGGTGCACTGGGAGACCAAAATTCCACCTGCACAGCCCCAAGTGGTCGGGTTCTGGGTCAGGGACACAATGTGTACGATAAAAAACATGAATGCAGGCTTACATGTGTATATAAAAAGTTCACACATAAAACATAGAGTCGAGATTAGCCGAGTGTTGTGATCGAAGAATAATGAACATCTAGCTGTTGGGGTAGAACACCCGAGTTTCCAACATGTTCTCACGTGGTGCAGGACTTCATTCTTCAACATTGGAAGATGTTTCCAACGAACGCAGCACTGATTCTTGTATAGCTCTACATGGCTCTATATATACATACATCTTTCCAGGCACTGGCAGCACAAGTGTGTTGCCCCATGCCAGGACATTAGAACATAGAATGGACTACCCTTATTCTTGATAGGTGAAAGCACAAGGTCATGGCTAGGTCCTTTTGACCAAACACTAAGAGGTTGACCAAGGGGGGACCCTTGCGACCAACGCAGGCCATCGCGACTGTCGCCTTCATGCGTGTTTGTCTGTTTCGGGCACAACAAGAGGTTGCTACATGGAAAAGTCAGTGCAAACGACCACGAGCAATGCAAAGGCTCAACATACCAACGAGCATTAAGACATATTCGCACAAAAAGCACAGTTCGCAACCAGAGTGCCAGAAGTCTAGAAGGTCTAGAAATCACTTGTTCCCATTCATTCCTTCACTTTTTCCAACCCCACCCCTTTCCACATCCGAACTAAACCGAACCACCTCCATGGAGGTGTGGTGCCCCTCCCACTCCCCACTCCCCACTCATCTCATCTCACCTCATTTCACCCTCAAAGGTTTGACCTCAGGACCCACTCAGGACCCGCGCCGAAGATCCGCGAGGGCAAGGCCGTCAAGTCGGCCTGAACCTCCAAGGCCTGGTCGTTCGGTGGCCGACGAGCACGTGCGCCGTCCGGTGAACCTGGTGCTGATGCCTTTAGGTCTGGTGTTGTTTGTGTTACATCATGTCTGGTCTCACGATATATTTCTTTTCCCTGACAAGTTGGAAGGGCTGAATGTGGATACATGGGGTGGATTGGATCGCAATTAATCTTGGTATTATGAGTCAGGTGTTTTGGCTGGTCCCATCTGTGTGGCAGGTGTTTCACATTCTTCTTTCTTCGACTTGCCAAGCAGTAGGAGCTGCTGATTTTTGATTCAAGCTGTCTGTGACTGCAGGAGGCGCAAAAGAGCCTCGAACATATTGGCTCGCCTCGCCTCCGTCACTCGGAACTCGCCGCAACTCGCCGGAACTCGCTCGCTCGGTCGCGCGGAACCCGCGGCGTGGATCGTCGCCTCTCCCGAGCTCTCCTGCAGTTGCCGTGCGTGATCCTTCAGCTCTTCATCCTCCACGCGACGCCAGGCGTCGACCGTGCGAGGCACAGAACCCCATCGGTCGCCCCGGGTCAGCGCCGGCTGAAGCGACTTGAGTCCATGTGCCGCGGACATGTTCCGATCCACGATCCAGCTGGGGGATGTTGAGATATTGAAATTCAGCCAAGATCCTACCCTCCTGGAACTAAGACAGCAACCACCTAGTCATTAGCTACGTATAGATTCATCTTTATATATACCTTTTTTTCATTTTTAAATAGTATTTTCTATGTTTCTCAGGTGCATCTGTCAATTGATTAGCTAGATTACCTCCTTTATATTTATCTGTTTGTCCTTTTTGCCTCCACTGCCCCTGTCAACTTTCAGTGATTGAATACCATCACATCATCTGTAGCTTCCAAAGGCTCCAAAAGCTGCCTGTTAAGCAACGGGGTCACTCAGGTGATCGGCTTCAGCATCTCCTTAAATACAGGATCAACCAAAACGCACCGAATCTCTTGACCAAGGATCCCGGGGGGAAGAAACTCTGCTTCATGTGTCATCTGGTCGCACTCCGAGTGAACAAACACATCGTTTTTTAAGGACAAAAGAGAAGCGAATCCATCTTCAATAGACATGTGCTCAATATATAGACCTGTTCGGGTATTAGGGACTGCAATGATTAACAAATACAATGCACATGTCACATGTTGTATAACCGTTGCAATCGACTCCACCGAACTTCAACCATAGTGACCATGCATACTTGGTTTCCAATAAACTGATGCCGACTTGGCCCTTGTCCGGCCCACCAACATAACTTAACCCCCCGGAAAACGAACGCGAAAGCTGAGATTTAACCCTGGATGGAAAATTACCGGCTTATCTGGACATTGTGCTATTGCTGAGTCTGTGTGGGTGCCCACGCAGATTTCTCAAGACCCACAGGTCCCACACATCCCGCAGCTCCTCCAACAGTCGTAGCAAACCGTTGAAGAACTCATGAGCATCCTGCGACGCTTCGCGTGGTCCCGATCCGGTTCGCTCGACCAAAAACGTTCTGCAGAAGTAAAGCGAAGATGTGAAGCTGGATCCATGGATGCCCAGCTGCTACATGGATCCAATATCTACCAGCAGCTTCATGACGGGGTCTTCTGGCTGGAATACCCTACCATACATGACTTGTGGATCTCCAAACAGGATACCCCGACATGAAGGTCTAGGTATAGAAGTCGTGGGAGTATGGACGACTCTTGATGACTTGATGAACTGGTGAAGATCAATCCACCCTTGCATAGCCTTGCAATCCCTTGGGAATGGGGCTGACACCCTGAGCATGTAGAGAGCTCCCCAGAAGCACATAATTAGTGGAGTATATCTTGTGGGCACATTGGTAATGGAATGCAATTTATGGGCGAAGCCTAAATTATTAAATTGTTCATTTCGTGCTTCGACTTTGAAAACGATTGCCTCCTGTGGACTTCTGGTGAGGGTTCGAAACGGGGGGGAAAACCAGTACTGGGTGAGGAGCTTCTGGTCACACACACACAAGTTCAACGGTCAGCGCCAGGGCCGACTTCTCACAAATGAATAAGAAGCTCAATTGAACTCCCAGTTACAATTACATCGAATCAAGTCACTTTCCAAGCATCCAAATCTCCTCTTCCCTCCACTTCAAAACTCCAAACAATGAACAAAAAGGTCTATACTACATATACGCCGTACACCAACCCAGCTCAACCCACCCAGGTCAACCCAGACCTACCGCTCCAGCTGCCGCCTCTCCACGCTGTCTCGACCGTCTCTCCACCCGTGGCGACTCGGCTCGGCTCCTCTTGGGCTCCGAAGGTGAACTCCTCGTTGAGCCGCGGGAGCCAGCGCAGCACCTGCCCGGCTGAACGACGACCGGGTGAAGGCATGACAAAGCAGATCGGTGTCGAACTACAACGGTCATCTCAAGACATGATTCTAATATCCCATACTAAGTGGTCTAAATGGACTGTCAAAGGTTTGATTCCAATCAGCTCCTGAAAAAAAGATCGACTAATTATTAATTTAGAGCTGATGTGATGTCTTCAGGGGCATAAACAATCAGCTCCTAAATAGTATACGATTGTCTCTTTTTCATGTGTGATGTTTTCCCATGGCGTGAACCCCAAAACAAGTCGTCCGATCTGCTCGTCTACCTGGTAGTAGACAGCTTGTGGTCCGACCAGGAAGGGGATCACGTTCTTGGCACCAGCAAAAACCACCTGAACGTGGGTATCAACATCACATCAAAGGGTTTGGATTGAATATCTCACATCAAACCCTTCCAAAAGCATCACATCAAACCCTTTTGCATCCGACCTTTTCCTATCCGATGCCCAAACTGATTTTAGTTTCCTTGTCATCCATCAGGCTCTTTTTGCACCAAACTCCCCGAAGCAACTTCCAGATCCCCAAATCCTTGGCACATCACCATCCTCGAACATCCATCCTCCGCAATCCTCCTGCTTCCGACAAAAAGACCAAAAAACACTCACACACACACACGACCACTTCTGCATGCGCCAGCGCAAAAAAACCCACTCCAAACGCCCCAGATCCGACCGTCGCGACGGGAAAGCGGCCGACGCCTCGTAGGGCGGCGAGGGCACCTGGCGAGGGCACGTGGCCGCGGTTCGGGTCTCGGAGTGGGTGGGAGGAACGACCCAAAGAAGTCAACAAGGCAAGTGGACAATGACTATACCAGGACCCAGAAGGGGTGGTTAATGGACACCCCGAATCACCTCTAAGGGGCTATCAATAGACACCCCTTAGGGTGTCCTGGTATAGGTCAAACAGTTTTCATGTTCACATTTCTGCCAGATAATCAGATACCAACTGCTTTGTTCCGTCACGAGTTGTTGAACACTCAAGCGACCAACATACCATAAATATAAAAAAACATATACAAGGGCTGGTGGCACTGAGATACAAAACAATTCTTAAGGCTCATCTGCTCATCGGCCATGTTGACAAAGCATGATACAACCCAAGTAGTGATCCTATCCTTCACCTTCAGATTCTCCAGACATTGCTTCTGAAGCACAAACAGGGTAGATGACAAATAGGACAACCCAAGCAGCTCATGGTTGTCACGTCCATCCCGGCAATCCTGTAGTAATATGATCAGACTAATCATACAAAAACCAAACATCTCAAACATTGAGAACACCCAAACATCTTTCATCTGGGGGCATGCCCATGCTTGGAATGAATGAACGCGTTGCACATATATATATATATACATATTGAGTCTATCCTTTTACCTGTAACAGTGGATGATGATGGTTAGTAAAGGCCCTGTACAAAAAATGATAATTGTTTACTGACTGTTACAGGTAAAAGGACAAACCCTATATATATATTATATAGACATACATGTATACAATTACAGTATACACGAAACGCAGCATGGAAAAGGTCCGGATCCTTTCGGATGAACACATCAAACTGTCTGGACTCAAAAAAACAAATCAAACAATTCTTGGTATTCACATGTGTTCACTCTGACACCATGTTGGATAGTTTTCTTTCTCTGCCTTCTTCTACACATGATCCGCTCGATCCGACCAACGAACCTTGGACTGGGTCCCAACCATCTCTTCGACCTTCCGCCGTGGCCTCCGAACGATTGTAGAGGAACCGCAAGTTCTGTGTCTTGATGGCCTGGGCGTGACTCTTCGCTTGTCGCGTCCGCGACAGACTCGTCCGGAAGTGGAGGACCGGAGGAGGTGGAGGAGGGGGTGTGTGGGGTGCTCTATTGGTCCAAAGTTGCATGTGGAGTCATGGAACAATAAGGAAACACGACCACCAAGTTGTTTTGCAAGTTTGTTCTTCCCCACCTGGAAGCGTGAGCCTCTCTCCATGGCACTTCAGCCTGCTTCTTCACTTCCATGATCGCCACACTCCAGTCCAAAAGCTCCGACAGAAACGGTTGGAGTATAGCGTCGGACTGAAAGATAGAATGAGGACGTTCAGGTCGTAATTTTTTCGGGGCTATACACTTAGAATGTATCATGGTTGTACACTTAGAATGTGGTCCCACAACTTTCAGTCCGACGCCCGAATATGATGTATATATATATTATATTTACTATTTTTTTATGTAAAGGGGATCGCCATAGATACACAGCGGTCCAGATGACCTCAACTTTTTTGAAGTGTGAAAGCCATTTGCAAGATTTGCAAGAGTGAACATTTGCCCGTTTCGCTGGCCGTGTTCCAGCAGCTCAGCAATTGAAGCCCAAAAAGCAATGGAGCCGATCGTGAGGGCAGCTTTGTCAAAGCCGCCAGATGTTGAGGAAGACCCTCCAGGATTGCCGCCAGTGCCTCCCCCTGAGCATCCTCCTCCCTTGGAAGAGCATCTCTCTTGCATTACACCACCCTTATTCAAGCTACCCTGAGGTTCACACCTTCTTTTTGATATGAGAATAATTACTGCGTGCCGTTATATCGAACATTTTGACCTAGGCATGGAGAGGCAACAGCTAGCGGTGAGCCGCTCCCAGTGGCACTCCCGGATTCCGTGAAAGCATTAAAGACGATGCTACTTGGTTTAAAAACAGATGCATTCCAAGTGATGACGTTCGAGTGTCCAATTTGTCCTACGGAGCTTGATTTAAATGCCCGAGGTTCCAAGTCCAGTTTGAAGATGAGATTTCTAACTAAGTGATTTTTTTTTAATTAAAGACGATGCTACTTGGTTTAAAAACAGATGCATTCTAAGTGACGACGTTCGAGTGTCCAATTTGTCCTACGGAGCTTGATTTAGATGCGCGAGGTTGCAAGTCCAGTTTGAAGATGAGACTTCTAAGTGATAGAGC